AACTGATCTATGCCCACGATACGTGCCGAGTGATAGAGTGCCTGACGAGTCTTCCAAAAGGCACTATTCGATCGTTGTTATTCGATGAATTATGCCCGGAAATTGTGCGAATGAGCAAATCGAAATATGCGAGATTCTTTGTGACGAAGATGCTCAAAAATGGGTATGTTTATTTTGATTTCTGATTTCAGTTAGATATTTTTGTTGTTATTTGCCGATTTTGTCAGGAAAGTTATCATTTTACCTCCACATTCTTGGTGTTCTTTGAATCCGTTTGATTTTAGTCGCATATACGAGCACTCAAACCTTTTAGTGTTTAGATTTGCGGTCGTAGGTTTCGTAAATGAAACGAAATGTTTTATATAATCATTCGTATAATCATAATATAATCATCATCATTCATGGAATCAATTATATAATCATCATTCATATAATTTATTTATGTAATCATGTTTTATAATTTCCACGTTTCAGATCCGCAGCACAGCGGAATATAATAATCAACGCATTTCGTGGTCATTGTGTATCACTGATGCGTATTCAGTGGGCCGCTGAAGTGCTCGAAACAGCTTACAACGACTACGCAAACGCAGAGCAACGTTCGAATATTGTCTCTGAATTCTACGGGAAAGAGTACCTCTTATTTAAGGTAGTTGGTTCGTTTTTGTTGATTTGATTGAGTGGATACGTTCGGTGACTAGTTACTTCTGATGATTGAGCGTATTATTTATTGAGCTTTTCGAGTAATCTGTTTCATGATGTGTGTTTTTAGGCATTCGCATAGGTTATTGTTTATTTCAGGACGAAAGTTTGAAAGTGGTGACTTTGAAGGATATACTGGAAAAAGATCCAGCTAAGAAAGCAGTTATAATTAAGAATTTGGAAGAGCTCTTGAAAGATATTGTGCCGAAGTAATGAGTTATTAGCTCATTTATGTGCTCATATTTTCCTTATCTTTTTTTGGCTTTGTTTTAACAAAGTTGCATCTAAGAATCTATCGAAAAGTAGTTTTCATTTATAATCGCTTGCAGAAGACAACTGAAATTGAGTTTAACGCATCGACTGCTCAACGAGTTCTTCGCGTATTGTAATGACGAGCAAAAAACGGAAATGATCGATTCATTGAAGGAGCGAATACCTGAGGTTAGTTGTGGTCTTTTAGTTTTAGCGTTTCTTTTAGTTTTTTTATCATTTTGACAAAAGAATCTGAGATTTGTTAGACTGTGTTTTATGTAGTAGCGTTTTGTTGTGGATTTTTGTTTACGTAAATTTGAGGTTATATGTAAATCCATTTATTTATTCAATCAGCAAATCAAACTCATTACGAGTTTATGCCTCTCTGTTATCACCAATATCACTAATATCACATTCTTCCTTCCTTGGCATTCTTCTTTTCGCGCAGCTAACGATAATAGCGTCTGAAATGATCTGTCTTCATGAAATTCGAACTTGGATTATTGATCTGGCAAGCACATAGGTTTTGGGCTACTCTCCCATATTGCTTAATGATTTCTAGGGGGAGGTTCA